TCTGTGTTTCATTGACTATGCAAAGGCATTTGACTGTGTAAATAACAACAAACTGTGGCTGACTCTGAGAAGAAAGGGAATCCCAGAACATTTTATTGTACTTGTGTGAAACCTATACTTGCACCAGGAGACAGTTGTCAGAAGAGAGCAAGGAAACACTGCATGGTTCAAAACTGGGAAGGGTGTGCACCAGGGATGTGTCCTATCACTGTATCTTTTCAATCTGTATGTGAAACAGATTATCCGGGAGGCTGGACTCTATGACGAGAAATGTGGCATCAGCATTGGAGGTAGACTCATCAATAATCTGTGTTATGCAGATGTCACAACCCTACTTGCTGAAACTGAGGAGGACCTGAAGCACTTGCTGCAGAGGGTCAAGGACTGTAGCCTTCAGTATGGATTGAAGCTCAACATGAAGAAAATAAAGATTCTCACCACTGGGCCGATTTGCAGCATCATGAAGAGATTGAGATTGTTAACAGCTTCAGTTTGCTCTGCTTTACAGTCAACACTCTTGGCACCAGCAGGCAGGAAATTAAAAGATTAATTGCATTAAGAAAAAGTGAATTACTGTCAGAGACCTCTCCATAGTACTGAAGAGTAACAATGCCAGTCTGGAGACTAAGGTGTGCCTGATCCAGGCCATGATCTTTGCAGTTACTTGCTATGCATCAGAAAGCTGGACAATGACTAGGCATGATATAAGGAGAACTGATGCCTTTGAGCTGTGGTGCTGGAGAAGAGTATTGAATATACCATGGACTGCTAGAACACACAAGTTCATCCTGGAGAGGGTGAGGCCAGTCTGCTCCTTGGAGGTAAGGATTCTGAGGCTTCGTCTGACATATGCTGGACATGTTGCAACATGGAATCAGCCTTTGGAGGAGGACGCTTCTTGGGAGGGTGGAAGAACAGCAGAGGAGAGGAAGACCCTCGATGAGATGGATTAATTCAGTGACTGGGGTAAAGACAGTAAGATTGGCACAGGATAGAGAAGGGTTTAGGGCTGTTGTACATAACAGGCAACTCAGTAGCACATAACAAAAACATACATCTGAAAGTTGTACAGTGAACAAGGATGACAGAATAATTGTAGCCTTTGAATTGTGTTGAAGAATATTGAAAAATTCATTCTATGACTAAATGTCAAAATCATGGCATTAAGGGATATTCTATTTTCTTAAACAATGCATTTCTCCAGAACAAAGAGATGTTAAATGTCTGCCATGATTTTTGCATTTAGTCATAGAATTTCAGGGTAATCTTAGAGGTTTTCTAGTAGAATCTCAACATTTAATGAATGTTGTGTTGTTGTGTACCATCAATTTGGAACCAACCCGTAACTGACCCTCCAGTTTTCAGGGGCAGTAAATTACAGGTGAGAGAATTGCCTTTCTCCTGTGTAACAGCTGGTGAATTTGAACCATGTACTTTTGTATTGCCAGTGCCGCTCCTTATCACTATGCCACCAGAGCTCTCTATCTAATGAATAAAGACATTATGTTCAAATAAACTAAGTGACACTCCCAGGGTCATACACCTCACTAGTATAAATTCAATGCAGTTCTAGAAGTTTTTTAACTCTGTTCAATATTCTTTTCCCTTTTCCACACTGTAATCGTAAATATGCTTTTTTTGCTTTTATTTGGCTGTAAGATACTACATGAAAATAAAAGGAAGATGATGTGGATAATACTCAAGTTAGAGCCGTTGTTTTTGTTGTTATGTTGTTATGTTCCACCGAGTTGGAACTAACTGAGCTGACCCTCCAGCAGGGTTTCAGAGGCAGTGAATCACTTGGGAGGAGACTACCCATCTCTTTCCTGTGAAGGCAGCTGGTGGATTCAAACCACATACCTTACGTTGGTAACACATCTCCTTACCATTAAGCCATAAGAGCTACCTTAAGAATATTGTCAGTATTAAAAAAAAGTAATAATTATTGAGGAAATTTAAAACTTTGTAAAGGAATTGTTGAGCACTATAAAAAGAATCCTGATAGTACAATAGTTAAAGAATTTGCCTTTAACCAAAGGGTAAGCTGCTTTAAAGCAGTAACTCCATAGGAGATATATGAGACAATCTACCTCTGTAAAGATTTACAGTCTTGGAAATCCCATATAGTGTTTTATTATTCTGTTAAGGTCACTGTTCATCAGAATTGACTCAGAGGCAGTAGTGTAGTGGTGGTGGTTTTTTGGGTTTTTTTTTTTTTTTTTCAATACCATCATAAATATTAGGAATTTTGTGAGGTGAATAAACCTGTGACATTTTGTCAATTCTGACTCATAGTGACCTTCTCTCTATGACAATGGAGAACTTCCCTTAAGGGGAATCAAGAAGGGCATCAAGAAGACACAGATCCTCACCTCTTCACCACTAGACAGCATTATGATAGATGTAGAAAATATTGAGGTTGTCAAAAATTTCATCTTACTTTGATCCACAATCAACACCCTTGGTATCAGGAGTAAAGAAACCAAAAGATGTATTGCATTGGGAAAGTCTGCTGTCAAGGACCTTTCTAAAATACTAAGGAGCAGTGGTGTCAGTTTAAAGACTAAAGTACTGTTGATTCAGGCTGAGAACTGGAGCATGACTAAGGATAACAGAAAAAGAATTGATGCCATTGAGTTATGGGGTTGGAGAAGACTGAATATTCTATGAACTTTCAAAAACCCCAAACATGTGTCTTGGAAAAAGTGCTGCCAGAGTGCTTCTTGGAGCAAGGAGGTTGAGACAACTTCTCACATACTGTGGGCATGTTAGGAGGAGCTATTCATTGAAAAGGGACATCATGTTTGGAGAAGTGGAGGATCACTGAGGGAGAGGAAGACCCTCAACCAGATGGATTGACACCCTAACTAGTAGTAGGCTCAAGGATTTCAGAGTTGATAAAGATGGTGCAGGGTAGGACAGAGCTAAGATATGCTGTTCATTATGAGTCATACTCGACAGCACCTAATGACAGCAGCCTCAACAATCTTTAAGGAAACACTGTCATCTCTACTTGCTATGAGTAACCAGTGGACTCAAATGGCTGACATGTGGTTAGGCAATTGCTTAACCACTGTGCCACCAGGGCTCTGTTTTAATTGGTTGACTATATAAGGGAGCTCTTGTGGCCTAATGGCAAGAGGCTGTGGTGCAATCTTGAAGGCACAGAATTGGAGGCAAACAGCTGTTCCGCAGGAGAAGAATGGGCAATCTCCTCCCGTGTGAGAACTGCCTCCGAAAATACACCTGAGGGTTCTCTTTGGGTTGGTTCCAACTCAACGGTACACAATATTTCATCACTAAACTAGAGAATTTAATGCCATTTTAGAAAGTGTACTTTTTATCAGTTTTGTCAAAGTAATAAAGTAATAAGACTGAAACCCAACTTACTGTAGAATCCATTCAGACTCACTACACCCTTATAGGACAGGGTAGAACCACATCATAGATTTTCAAGGATTTAAATATTTATGGAAGCAGACTGCCGTATCTTTCTCCTGAGGAGTAGCAGGTAAATTTTACTTGGCTACCTTTCAGTTCTGGTGGCCTAGTGGGAGTGGTAAGAAGCTGCACCTGCAATCCCGAAGGAACAGGGTTTGTTTGAGTCATTTAGCCATTTTATGGGAGGATGGCAGTATCCTCCATTGCCATTAACTGTCTCCAAAGACCTGCTGAAGGGTCAGCTCTGGGTCGGTTCTGACCCATCAGCACACAGCAACAATTAGAGAGCTCTGGTGATCTGGTGAGTAAGGAATTGTGTTGCTAACCCAAAGACAGTTGATTTCATATTTACAACCTATTTCATGTGAGAAAAATAGTCTTTTTCCCATTCTGTAAATTTGTCCCATACAATTTACAGCTGCTGGAAATGTGCTGGAGGGTTAGCATGACTCCATCTCAGCAGCACGTAAAAGCAACAACCTTTCAGTTTTTAACCACTATACTATAGTGACTGAACTACTATGCCATAGAACGAATTCTCTTTTAGATAATATTCCATACAGTGTAATGTTGTTGGAAGTCTGACTGACTTTAAATGACATCTGTCTTGTGTTATAAACCTAGTATAACTAAACTTTACCCTTTGCTTTTCATTGGAGAATATTGATGAAGTCTCCATCTCCAGCATTACATCCACCTCAGAAGTATAAAGATAGAGGAATATTGCATCCTAAACGAAACACTGATGACCGATCAGATCAATCTTCTGTGAAATCTACAGACAGCGGTAGCTATCCAAGTCCATGTGCCAGTCCTTCACCTCCATCCTCGGGAAAGGTAAAGTATCTAAAACAATAAACTACAGACTTTTTGCACATCTGATGTTGAATACTCAAAAATCACAAAAGAATTCTACTTTTGAGCTACTGATTTTAGCCTCTGTTCTAGATATAAACTGAAGATGGTAAACTTAAAAACTTGAGAGTAAAGGGTTGGGGTTTGTTTTGGTTTTTTTTTTCATGCTGAGCAAATATTTGTAGTTATTACCATCCTGGGGTGTTTTAAAACTTGAGCACTGATGGCATTGACATGTATCTAGGCAGGTATTATGTAATTTTAGAGTTCTTTAAAATTATTTTTGTTAAAAAAATACACCAAGTAGATAATTTATGTGCATTTCCATTTATAATTTCAGAATTTGAAAACACTGGTTTCTTTTACTTGTTAATTGATTCCTACAAGTAAATGGTTATATGAAAACACAGGGGATGATGATATTAGGAACTTAAGAAATGTTCATTGGGAGTTGAGATGTATCTTTTATTGTAGAGTTATAATGTGAATTATTTCAGATGTTTAGAATGTTTGTTGCTGCCTTCTTCTATTATAAATATCTATGTTAGCCTTTATGGTTTTTTGAAAATGTCTACCATAAACAAGAGAAAAAATATTTTTGTGGATTTGGTTTCTTAGATTTTACATTTTGATACAGGCCATAGTCTTCACAATCACTTGTTATGCATCAGAGAGTTGGACAATGACCAAGGTGGATAGAAGGAGAATTGATGCCTTTGAGCTGTGGTGCTGGAGAAGAGTATTGAGAATACCATGGA